CACAGCAGACTTGGTTTAGAACGGCATTTCCTCAGTCTGATACAGGACACCTACAAAAACCCCACAGCTAACCTCATACTTAATGCTAAAAGGTGGAATGCTTTTCTCTTAAGATCAGGAAGTAAGGATATCAGTCCTCACCACTTCCATTTAATATGATACTAGAAATTCTAGCCATGACAATTCCACCCTCTGCCCCCTAAAAAAATTCAGACTGGAAAGGCAGAGGTAAAACTATCATTTGCAGATGAAATGACCTTATAAATAAACAACCTTAAGAAATACATTAAAAATTATTAAAACCAACACATAAGTTTGACATGATTGCAGGAGGAAAGGTCAACATGCAAAAATTAATTGTATTTCTCTACACTAGCAATGAACAATCCCTAAATGAAAATAAGAAATCAATTTTATTTGCAATAGCATCAGGAAGAATAAAAGACTTAGGAATAAATTTAACAAAAGATGCAGTAAACTTGTATTTTGAAAGCTATAAAATACTATTAAAGGAAGTGAAAGAAGATCTAAATGTATATAATATAAAGCCATCCCATACTCATGGATTAGAAGACTGAATATTATTATGATGTCAATCTTCCCCAAATTGACCTTATAATTTCATGCAAACCATATCAAAATTGCAGTTGGCTTTTCTTTTCTTTTTTTTTTTTTTTTGGCAGAAGTTGAAAAGCTGATCCTAAACTTTCTATGTGTATGTATAGGATCCTAAATAGCCATCACAAACTAGAAAAAACCCAAAGTTGGAGTACTCCCATTTCCCAGTTTAAAAATTTAAAACAAACCTTCAGTAATAAAGTCTGGTACTGGCATAAGCATGGACATATAGATAATAGAGTAGAATCGGGAGTCCAAAAATAACCTCTTACAGGTGGTCAATTGGTTTTCAGCAAGGATGCCAAAACAATTCACTGGGGGAAAGAATAGTCTTTACAACAAATGATTCCGGAACAATTGGATAGCCACATGCCGAAGAATGACGTTAGATTGCTTGCATTCACCATACATGCAAATTAGCTCAAAATGGATCATAGGCCTAATTGTATGAGCTAAAAACACTATTAAACACTTAAAAGAAAGATAGGAGTATATCTTTGTGATGCTGGCTTAGGCAATGATTTCTTAGATGCAACCCCAAAAGCACAAGTGACAGAAGAAAAAAAAACATATATGTATAAATTTTATTTCATCAAAATTTAAATGTTTTGAGTTGCAAATGACACCATCAGGAAAATGAAAAGAAAACCTGCAGAATGAGAGATCTGCCAATTATATACCCGATAACAGGGTTATGTCTAAAATACATAAAGAACTTTCTAATTCAATAATAAGAAAATAATTACCTCAGTTGAAAATTGGCTTAGCATCTAAGTAGGCAATTAACCATTCTGCATTTCCACTATACATATGTACTCAAGAAAAATAAAAACATACGACTTAACAATAACTTGTACATGACTGTACACAGGAACAATGTTCATAACAGCCAAAAAGTGGAAAAAACCCAAATGTCCATCAGCTGGCAAATGGTTAAGTGAAACGTGATATATTCATGCAGTGGGATATTTTTTGGCCATAAAAAGCAATGCAGTGCTGATACCTGTGACAACATGGATCAACCTTGGAAACATTATGTCTACTGAAAAAAGCCAGTCACCAAAGACTACATGTTGTATCATTTCATTTATGTGAAATATCCAGAATAGGCAAATCTGTTAAGATTTAGAAAACAGATTAATGGTGTCTTGGGGCTGGCAGTGGTTAATGACTATTAATGGATATGGGGTTTCTTTTTGGGGATATGAAAATGTTGTAAAATTTGAATGTGATGATGCTTCCACAGTCATGAGTGCACTCAAAACCATTGAATTGCACATTTTCAAAAGGGTAAATTGTATGGTACGTGGATTACATCTCAGTAATTTTTTAAGAAATTAATTCATGCTTATTATATAAAATTTAGAAAATAACAAGAACCATAAAAAGGAAGGAAGCAATCTAATGATGCCCTACGCACGCAGAGCTAACATTTTTCTGTATTTCCCATCTTGCTGACTGCATACAAAAATCTTTGTTGGGGGGAGTGGGATACAAATCACACATTTAATTTCCTGCTTTTTAAATTTAATTGAAAAATTTGGGAACCTCTGACTTAATCATTGCTGATTTAGCTACTCTGCTGTTGGGTTTTAAGTTTCTTCTAGTTCATATACAGTTTTGTAATTCTAGCTCATTTACATATGATTATTACTCATTCTTATGCATCAACTTTTTGTATACATTTTGAGCATTCCCTTAGGAATGAGACTTGGACCCTGTGTTGTTAGTTAGGGCTGCTGTAACAGATTACCTCAATTGTGGTGGCTTTCAACAGAGATGTAGTCTCTCACAGTTTCAGAGGCCAAAAGTCTGAAATCAAGGCTTCTGTGGGGTTGGTGCCTTCTGGAGGTTCTAAGGGAGAACCCATTCCGTGCCTTCCTGCCAGCTTGTGGTGCAGGCGGGCGCACTCTGACACTCCTTGGCTTGCAGGTGCATCACTGCGGTCTCTGCCTCTGCCTTCCCGTTTTCTTCTCTGTGGGTCTTCTGCTCTTCACGTTTGTAAGGATGCTTGTCCATTTGATTTAGTTCCACCATTGATCAGGATAATCACATCTCAAGATCCTGAACTTACATTTGTAAAGATCCTTTCTCCAAATAAGGTCATGTGCACAGTTTGCTTGTGCACATCTTTTAGGGTTCACCATTTAATCCTCTCCAAAAGCAGTGGCATAACAAGGGGGCAGGAGGTGGCTGTGGGAGTGGCCTGCCCCTGTGTGGGCAAAATGGGCAAGCATTGTTTGTAGAAAATGCAAAGCCAATAATAAAATTACCAAACATTACTCTGCTTTTTATTATCCTCGTTCCGTGGCAACTCTAAACGTTATCAATGATAAAACCTTCCTCCCTAGAGGTATCTTTGGCTGCCTCTGCCCTGCCCTCCTATGTCCCTCACTACTTGGAAACAAGATTATTGGGCGAAATAATGTTGATCTTTCTCATTCTCATGATATATATTTTCAACTTATTATCCAGGGTGTGGAAGTATATAGTCTTACCAGCTTTATATGAGATAATAAAAATACAATATAAATAAACCTGCTAATTTAATAGGTAGAAAAATATCTTATTTTAACTTTTGCTACTAGTGGAATTGACCATGTTAACTCTTGTGCTAGTTATTTTGTAATCAAGTTTTATAAAATTTTAACCTGTCATTGTCAATATTTCTGTTAGACTCAGAATATATTTCTTATTGATTTGTAAACACTATTTACATAGTGAAAATAGGAGTCCTTTATAACGTTGTATATATTTACCGTCATTTCTTTTTTACTTTCTTTAGATAACAGAGCATTTTAGATTTTAAGTATGCTTTTGTTTTTGCTTACCTTGATTGCAAACCAGTGTTTCTTTTTTAAAAACTCACCACTCTTCAGCTGAAGTCTTCAATGAGGATGGGACAAAGGCAGATTGTTGCAATAATAATAGGTCTATGAAAAATTTCTACAAAAAGAATGCTGAATTTTAAAAAAATGAAAGATAGGTAGTATTTCATTTCCTATATCAGGTATTCCACGCCGTTGGTGTGGAACCTGAGGAGTGGGAGGAAACTAAACACCGTCCGTTTCCAGCCTCTTATTTCATGGGCAGGAATCAGACACTCAGAGAGACCTGTGTGATTTGGTTGAAACTGGCACAAATGGTAGATCTTTGAACTCGAAGTGCATTGCTCCTGTGAAACCCCACCTTGTCTCTTTCTCTTGTTTTAGGTGTCAGCTAAATTCCCGAAATGCTTTTTCTTCCTATAAGGTGTTCATTTGATGGCATTTTTCTTATTATAAAAACACCACATGTTAATTATGGAAAAATGAAGAAGTATGAATAAACTGAGAAAACAATTTAAGACAGTTTGGGTTCCATCCACCCCTGGAGACAACTACTGCTAACGCTTTTGGATATCCTGCACGGTCATTGTGTGTGCGTATGTGTATGTGCGTGTGTGTGTGAGGTCACACAATGTTATATGTTTTGTTTTTTAACATGAATGTTCACAGGGTCTGTTGATTTGTTATTTTAATGGCTGCAAAGTATTCCATCATTTTCATTTATTCTGATTCATTTAATGATTCCCCAATTGTATATTTAGTTTACTTCTAATTTGTTGCTTTTATGTTGCAATTACAAACACTGTGGATAGCCCTGAATATATTTCTGTATACATTTCTCATTAGTACCTTAGGATGATTTCCTACAAGTACAATTTACTATGATTAAGGATTTTGATTCACATGAAAGACTTACTTTTACTTTTAAAATTTTTATTATGAAACATACTAAATGTGTACAAATGAAGAGAAAATATAACAGACCTCCACTTACCTGTACCCAGTCTCATTTAAAAAAATGTAGATTTAATTTGACTTCTAAAAGGAATATATTCAGACAGTTAGTTCCTGTCTCTTTAGACAGAGCATTTCCACCGTGATGTGTTTTACTTCGCACCCAGTAAGTGCTGGTTCTTGTGTTGGTTTTTTACAGCACATTGTCTCCTTTATTCCTTATATCTTACTTTAATGGCTGTTTTGATTTTACGGACAGTGAGGCTGAGAATTGGATGAATGAAGGAAGCACAGATTCAATTAGGTTTCTATGATGGTAACCAACTCATCCCAGTGTGCCCAGAATGGTCCCGGTTTTAGCACTGAAAAGTCCTGCGTCTCAGGAACCCCCTTGTCCCCAGCAGCCCAGCACCACTGCCCACTCAGAGCCCAAGCTCTTCCCCAGCAGAGTGGTCTCAGCTGCGACATTCTAGGGCATCCTATTTCTAACTGGCTGGAATCTTAAAGATAATAAAGAGTTGGTTATTCCTAGGGGAACATAGGCCATCCTTGGTTTTAGAGTGTTTCTGTCTGCACAGCATTGGATGTTTTCTTTTTCAGGTCACTGCACGTGCTTGTGTGCAACGCAGCGGTGTTTGCTCTGCCCTGGAGCCTCACAAAGGACGGCCTGGAGACCACCTTTCAGGTGAACCACCTGGGGCACTTCTACCTTGTCCAGCTCCTCCAGGATGTCTTGTGCCGCTCAGCCCCTGCCCGGGTTGTTGTGGTCTCCTCCGAGTCCCACAGGTGGGTTAGAATTTCATGTTCTGTTCACTTGTCCCCTTCCTGGCACCAGCTAATGGTCCCCCAAGGCTCTCTTTTTGAAAACAATTTTCATTTGTCCTGCTCTAAAGTGTGTGTACTCAGTCAGTCTGGCCGACGGACTTCTTCGAGGTCTGTTTTTGTGATGGCGGGGGGCTCTTTAGGGGTAGTGTCGACAGGGAGGCAGATTGTTTTTATGACTCTACTTCAAGCCCCTCAGTGATTGTGTTTTCAGATGGAATAATAATTGATTAAATCTGAATGCCTGACCTTTATTGATTTGTCATTCAGCAACTTCAACATCTCACCAAGAAGAATGTGCAGTTATTCTAGGAGGAGAAACAATGCAATTAAAGACTGCGAGATGAAATCCAATTGTTTTATAATGAGAAATTAGGGAATTCAATGCAGACATTAGCTGTGTAATTGTAGAAAGGGAAGTACTGTAGTTAGAACATATTAGAAATCTGGCCGTGCCTCTTTTGGTTAAAATTTCAATTAAAACATCAGATGGCACTTCTTTTCTATTACCATTAGGAGAATATTCAATTGACTAAAAAGACATTTGAAAATTTCATCGTATTTTCAGCATATCTGTTTCTAGAGTTGGATAAACAACTATTTGTCTGAAGAGAAGTATTCGGAGAAGATAAAGGACTTGCTGGGTGAGGCTAGATTTAATACATGTTAGGGAGATTTTCCTGGTGTGGTTGGGAGCCTTCACTGCTAGCAGAGAAGCTGGAGAAAAAATAATGTGCAAGGGCCTATTTTTTTTCTCTCTCTCCTCTCCGTCTTAAGTCCTGAAATGTTTTAGTGACCCAGAATGGAGCTTATTTTTTTAATCATGCTTCCATAAAATGTAACCCCTGGGACTTGGAAGAGAGAGACCAGCCAAGGGTTAGCCTGAACCCTTTATCACTCCCAAACACAGGGGCTTATGGTATAAGTGACACGCTGCAGATAGACTGACTTTTACCATGTGAAATTTATGAGGGCTGAAATGAAAGGAAAATGCCCGTAATAATCCTCCCCCGCGTTAAAAGACATGGAACCTCTAGTAATTAGGTGGTAACAAAATCTGGACATCCTTATCTTTGCAAATCACACCAGCTTCGCGAAAGGAAGTGGAGTGACCCTGTTGGGGAGGGAGGGAGGTACCACGGAGGCAGGTGCAGGAGACAGGGCTCCGGAAGTACATCTCCCAGCCCCAGGCGTTTGCTGGATGCAGAGGGCACCACGGGAGGGATGTGTTTAAATGAGCTGGTATTTCATGGGAGATGATGTTGAATTGTCAGCTACTTCTCTCCTTTGTAAATCTGTGTCTCAAATGCAATTTCATGTGATGATCTCTGTTTTCTCCCTAACGGTATAATTTGCGCTTACCTTGGAGATCCGAGTCTTAATTTCATTGACAAGATGGACTAGAAGGCAGGGCCGTGGTCTCCTGAATTAGCTCCATAGCAGTTTCTAGACATGGCCTTCCTGAATCGTGTGTTATCAGACTCCTCCTGTCTGGTGATGGGCACTGTTTTTTCTACTCTCTAATTCTCTTTTGCTCATATTAAAGGATATTTTTACCAAATGTGAATTCCCCAAGCTGGTTCGTTTATTCCGCATGTACTGCACCCAAGAGCCCATGTGGATACTGAGTGGGCATTACTGGGAAAGCCCTCACTCACCATGAGCTCAAGGACCCAGAACCCTAAACCACGTTGTAAAACAGAAGGGTTGATACCTAATTACCTCCGTAAACCTTGGCAGAACTCTTCGTTGGAGTCACGACCCCCTGTTAGGGGAAAAATAAAGTCCTATGTTTGCAGAAAATATTATACCAGACTGCCCCAAGGCAAAATATTTATCAGCCTCCCCATGTCTTCACTGTATTTTAGTTACTTATCTGGAGTCTGAGCCAGTGAATTGAGTTTCTGCCTACCTAAAATCCATCATGTTCAAATGAGAACTTGACTTCCTTGCTGTGAAAAAATTTTCAGATAACAATTAAAATAGAATGAAAAGACTGGAGTGCTGGCTGAACAGCTCTAAGTGGCTGCAGCTGTGTTGAGTGCCAAGTTGCACACATACACACACACACACAGAGCTTCTGATGCAAATTCAGTCCTGTTCTTTGAACATACTAGCTTTTGTCTACATAGAATCCAACCTAATTATTTTAGTTTGGTAATTTAAAACTCCTCATTAAAAAAAAAAAAGTAAAGGAGCAGTACATAAAGAAATACAAGCAAGAGGTCCCCTCAAACAGCAAATGGTAATTTCCAGAGAGCGAAAGTGCACATTTTGGTGTCCTGGTAGGAGGATAACTCTATTAAGACGTTATTGTTTGGCTTTGTCAATTTTTCAACTTGAAAATAGAGCAGACAAGTCTTTGGAGATTTGTTTTGCTACCTCTTGAGCGGAGAGGTGAACCCAGTCATTTTTCAGGAAGCTGGCCCTGGCTCAGAGGAATCACAAAGCTTGCCCACCCCTCCCCCTTCCTGGACGACTGTCCATACAAGCTAATCAGACCTTAAAAATGAGTTTGCTGCCCTGGAGGTCAGCAGGGCAGGAAGTCAGAGGTCTACTGAGAGGGGAGGGCTGTTTGCAAGGGGCGGGCCTGGCATTTTAGTAGCTGGGCTTCTCCATCTTGAAACTTTCCTTCAGCCTGGTTCCATCTAATTTCTTATCACAGTAGATTTTACTTTGTTTTGTTTTTGACTTGTTTCTAGGTTTGGGAGTAGGATTTAATACCCTCTTTTAGGCGTTGAATCTACAGGTGTTCCACAGTCATGAGGTATTATTTCTGTATTGTCCTTAAAAAGCAAAGCAGAGAAGTCATTCTAAACATTAGAAAGTGCCACATGCAGATTATTAGTGAAACTCAAGACAAA